TAAAATGCCCCAGAAACAAAGCATACCATGACAAATTCTCACCCAACACACAAGTACACGCACCGGAATGTTCCCAGACACAGAGAAAAAGAGACTTCCCTACCTTGGGCCTCCACTCGTGAACACTCAGGCGTACCTGCTCAGCTTCAAGAGCATACACAAATGTGTACACTCTCATAAACTGACCCAAAGAAACCCCTGGGGCCTGGGGGCAGACACCGGCTGCACAAACACCCCACAGAGCCAGCCCCATGTCTCCTGAGCCTCGCTAATGCACGATCCATACCCGGAGATAAAAGTCTAGACAATAGACGGCTGTTTATGACAACGAGGCTCTCCAAGTTTGGGGCCAGGCGATAAATCTCTGGCGAATCTTCCTGTAACTCAACTTCTGACTGTAGTGAGGAGAAAGCCACTGAGCCCGCAGAGAGGAAAGCAACAAAATGGGGGAGACTTGTAAATCCTGAGCAGAAGGCACCTTCCCTGCTGGGGCAAGAAGGCATAGGCCACCACACTCACCCCACACAGCAGTCCTCACTGTGGAAGCTTTCGGATCAAGCTTCAGAGCACAGGCGAGTCAGAGTTCCCCACTGCCTGCCTAGGCTTCCAGGTTCCGGAAATCAGGGCCGAATGTGCAGGCAGAAGGCAGGGCCTGGAGGCTGGAACAGATCCCAAACAAACGATTCTTGCTGGGGGCAAAAGATCTTTTTTTGTTTTTGTTTTTGGTGACTGGAATCTTTTTGCTTTGTGTCACCTGAATTTTTTCACCCCATGCCTTCCCACCTCTCTCTTTTTTTCCTTTTCCTTTTTGGATTGATTAGCTGTTTGTTTCCTTTTGCATTTTCGACCCAGGCATCTGATCGCTAATAAAGAGTCACTGAAGTTGATCTCATAAAAATGCCGCGAGCTCACTTTGATCAGGAGGACTAGGTCCGAGCCTTAAAGTAGGAGCTAAAGCCAGAGAATCAGGGCCCCAGTCAACCTGCCTCAGCTCTGCGGTGAGGCAGGAGATCTGGGTGGCCCAACAGGGCAATCCCGCCCAGAAAAGGTATTTTCTGTGCCACTACAACTGGCTTAGGAAACTAAAGCCCAATAGCAGCGGCTCCATTTCCAGACTGCTTTTAAGACATTTCCTTCATTTTGGAACATTTGGTGAGGGGGCCAGTGAAACCGGCTCGTAAAATAGGGCTTTTTATGGGAAGAAATAGGGTCGGGTTGCTACCCTCCTGGGACAATCTCTCCACAGAGGAAGCTGGGTGGGGCCTGTGGGGGCAAAGGAGTTGTCCTTCTCCCTCCCCACTACCCCCTCCATAGGTCCCAGGAACCTCTGAGCAGCATCCACCAGCTTAGGTGGCCTGACTTGGGGACTCAGGCTTGGGGCAATGGCCAAGTCTGAGAAGAGGTAGAAGCCAGGAACTAGCAGTCCCAGGATCTTGCTCCCTGGCTGGGGCTGGGGTGTCCTGGGTGCAAGATAAACCACTGACCTGAAAATCCCAAAGCATACTAAAGGGATTATTGCAGGCAGTGATATTACTGTAAGGGAGAGAAATATAGGCAAGAAGGTGAAAGCCAATTTCTAATGAAGGCTCCTTGCTGGCCCAGCCTGTGAACAAATGAGGTTGTCCATGCGTGGGACTCTCTCCGCTTATCTTTTTATTGACTCCACACAGGCTGAATTTATAATCCAAGCCCATTGGAGCACATGTGGCCCCATTTCTCCTTTCAGCATTTTCCTCCCCAGTTCATGGTCTGTGGGATGGGCTCCTTTCCCTACCACGATCTGCTCTCTAGAACCCAGAGCAGTGGGAGGAGGTAGACAAGCTAACAGGAGGCCCTAACTCTGTGTGCGGGAGTTTGCTCTGGGAGCTGCCCAGGGCAGAATTTAGGAGACACTGTCCCCTTCTGAAGCTGCCCCTGTTGTCCGTGTGTGGGAGGGAAGGGTGCTGGAGTCTGCCTTAGCTTTGGTCAGGCTACCGGGATAGCTGCCCAGACCGCAGCCGCCTGCTAGCGGCCAGGCTGGCTGGTGGCGCTAACTGAGGACACCAAGAGCCAGTGGGGAGGGCCGGATGGCCCTGCTGCAGAGAATTTCAGGTGAAGGCCAGGACTCAAAGAAGATGGAGAGGCCACAGGCGTCCACCAGATAAGGTACAAATAAGCCACCTGGAGCGGGCTTGACAAGGAAGGGGTTGGGGGCCGGGGATGGGTCCTGTGTGGGGAGGCATTGATGCTCTGGCCAGAATCCACAGGCTGAGAGGGTGCAGCCTGGGACAAGCATCTCAGCTGAAGCTTCCAGGTAGCCTGGACCCAGGGCTGGGCAGGGAGGCTACTCCAGACCATGGGCATTTTTGCCAGTAAATGCCTGGCTGACCTCAGTGGCCAGGGCCTTCTTTCCTTGACCCTAGCAGCAACTGACAGTTGCTGGGGTTTTTTTGATTTGTTGAAAAACTAAGCCATACCAACACTAGAGAACATTTAAACTTCATGCCTTACTTTTAAGAGGAGGAATATTACTTTCCAGAAGTCTCTGTTGGGAAACCCCAGCGTTTCCTAGACATCAACTCTTTGATATTCTTTCTTGCCTTTCTTTTTTGTTTCAAGGAAATAGGGCCGCCAGCAGCACCTTGTTGCCGCCTGGCTCACTTTTATGGTGGCCCGGGAATAAACTTTGGTGGTCAAATTCAAGTGCTCAGGCCAGCAGCTGTCTCCTCACAGGAAGCAGCCCCTACCCCCACCTCAGCCCTGGCTGTGCTGAATCTGCCTTGGGGGACTGGGCCCCACATCACCCTGGAGGGCCAGGAGGGGGAAGGAAGCAGAGCCTTGGGTGGAAGTGGAGAAAGTGGGAGCTGCGACTTGAGCCCTCATCCACACTTCTGCAAGGATAGGGGTACCTCTCGCTTCCCTCTTGCTGGTTCCTATCACTGTTTGGGGAGCGTATTGCCTTCAATAAACTTGAGTTTAGTGAGGTCAGTGTGAACCCCATTAAAAGCCACAGTCCATAGTTCCCCACTATTATAATTAAAAATGCTGGCCCCAGCTCACCCTATAAAAAGGGCTAGAGGAAAAAGGAAACACAACAGAGAAGCCTCACACTTCAGCAAAGCCCCAATCTAGTTATTCTTTGCTTCGGTTTAAGATCTGACCAGAACTAAAGAAGCAGCGCCCAGCATTGAGTGGGTAGGGAGGCACCTGAGACCTATCCCTGAGTATTCCAGAACCGCCCTGAGATTGGGACCCATGATGGAGGCAGACTCCACCCAGGTGTCACTCTAAATGCTGAGCAAGTTTGAGGAGGCAGGAGCGCTGAGGAGGAATGGATTTTAGGGTTTACATATGGAGACAAGCTACAATTTTTTGTGTCCTCCCTATCTGGTTTGGGAGCTGCAGCACTTCATCATGTTTCATCAAGACAAATCCAATCTAATTTCTTTAAGTGGAAACTAATTTTAACTAAGGGTTATGGGTGTAAAGAGAGTTTGGGCTATTTTTTGTTTTCCCTGAGTGTGCATTGGGCTGAGCCCTTGGGGGCTTCAGTTCTTCCCCTCCTTCCCAAACAAATCGTGCCCTGGCAGCTCCTCTTTGGACCCAAGGTTGCTTTCAGCTCATGCCGGTTGCTTTTGGCCCCTTGGACCCAGTCCAGAACCTCTCAATAAAGTGATTTTCAGATGCCCAGATGTGTCCTGTGGTGCTCAAAGGGATGGAAGGCAAGGGGTTGGGGATGCAGAATCACTGAGCCTACTGCTTGGGCTACAGCTACCCAGGAGGCTGACAGACTTGGAGGAGGGCAGGGCAGGACTGAGAAATAGGAAGGAGGCACTAAGATCTGGTCACAGCCCCAGGGACAGAGGCTGGGGGCTTTGACTAGGGAGTGGCCCCTGGGTCTCCCCTGATGCTACAGCATCCACCGCTCCTTTCTGCTGTCTGGCTAGTCTCTTCTGGAGACCCATACCTGGCCCCACTCCCACCTTACAGTCCCCAAAATCATCCAAGGATAAGAACCCCAAACCTAGTCCCCCCACTATATTCTATCTGGACCCCTACACTAGGCTTCTTTTCAGCCCACTAGCTGAGGCTGAGCCACTAAGCCAAAGGGCCCTGACATAGAAGATACATGGCTCTCATTCCAATCCTTTTCTTTGGGGTTTGGGATTTGAAAATCCACAGTGGATGTAGCTTTCTTCACATTGATTGACAATAAAGGCAGGCATGAAATATTCACCCAGGGCCACTCTCTCATACTAAATATTTAACACAACATTAGAGAAGGTTTTTCCCAGACTTCGCCAGGCACCGGCTGGGCGGCTGGCGCACTGCTCACCACTCGTTTATGACTAATCTGACTCCCTAGCCAGCGGCAGCACAGCAAGCCAGACAAAGTTGGGACACTGGCTTGCAGCTGGGCTGCCTCACCTTTGGGAAACTTCAGATACTCTTCCGGGAGTCTCTCTAAGGACTCCGGAAAGGTAGTCTTGACACCCAGCTCTGGCCAGGAAAACAGTGGACTTCTTCAAACTCTTGTGAGCAGGCGGTGACTCTGCGGGTTGGAAGGGTAAGAGTCCCTGAGATTTAAGGGAAAGGATTCACTTCTCTGGGGAAATCAGGCAGTGGGGAAAGAAGTCCTCACTCCCACCCTTCTGGTGCTGATCACAGAGAGGAGGCAAGACCTCCATACGTGAGAGACCTCCTCCTTCCCCCAATCCTGGGGGAGAAAAAGAGCAGCAGCTAGAAAAAAATACAATTACCCCCTCCCAGCCACCACCCTCGCCCGTCCCACCGCCCACCCCACCCCAACCCTCTCTCTCCTCCTTTGCTCGTGCTGTGATATGGAGAGAAGGGGAGTGACGAGAGAAAAACGAATACAAATCTGCAATTGATTTTCATAATGTTTCTGCGGTGTTTGCAAACCAATCGCCTGAACGTCCCCGATCTTACCTAAGAGAGAACCCCTCCTACGTCTGCGAAGTGCTCCGAACTGATATATGACAATATCTACTTTGGATCACGTGCTCAGGGAGAGAGACTAAGACGGATAACGCGTCATCTCGCCTTCCCAAATTTTCCCCCCTCGCTAGACCAGGTCCAAAATCTCCATCCGGAGCCGGCAGGAAAGGAGAACGATGTTTAACTCGGTCAACCTGGGCAACTTCTGCTCGCCGTCGCGCAAGGAGAGGGGCGCAGATTTCGGCGAGCGAGGGAGCTGCGCCTCCAACCTCTATCTGCCCAGTTGCACTTACTACATGCCCGAGTTCTCCACGGTCTCCTCCTTCCTGCCCCAGGCCCCCTCTCGTCAGATCTCCTATCCCTACTCGGCCCAAGTGCCCCCGGTCCGGGAGGTCTCCTACGGCCTGGAGCCAACCGGCAAGTGGCACCATCGGAACAGCTACTCCTCCTGCTATGCTGCTGCCGACGAGCTTATGCACCGGGAGTGCCTGCCTCCTTCCACCGTCACCGAGATCCTCATGAAAAACGAAGGCTCCTACGGCGGCCACCACCACCCCAGCGCCCCGCACGCAGCCCCCGCCGGCTTCTACTCCTCAGTCAACAAGAACAGCGTCCTGCCTCAAGCCTTCGACCGTTTCTTCGACAACGCCTACTGCGGTGGCGGCGACGCTCCCGCCGAGCCCCCCTGCTCCGGCAAGGGCGAGGCCAAGGGGGAACCCGAGGCGCCCCCGGCCTCGGGACTGGGGTCCCGGGCTGAGGCGGGTACCGAGGCAGAGGCTGAGGAGGAGAACACAAATCCCAGCTCGTCCGGTTCAGCCCACTCCGCGGCCAAGGAGCCGGCCAAAGGAGCCGCCCCCAGTAGGTAGCAGCGGCCGGGGAACGGGCGGGCAGCGAGGGAGGGAGCGAGAGAGGGAGGGCGGGAGAAGGGGGGAGGCAAGGGGAGCGGGGACGGCCTCGTGTTTTGGGTCAGTCCGATTTTATGTGGAGTTTTATAAGCATTCAAAGGATTTTATTATAACCTACAAAGCCCTCTCTCCCAACGACTCGACTTTTTACGATGGAGAAGGGGTGGGGAGGGAGGGAAAAGGGCTCTTTGGAAAAGCCGGGTGAACCCCCCTCCCCCGTTATCTCCCTCGGTCTGTGAAATTTTTAAAAGCGCCACCATTGCGGGCGATATTAACTTTGATCGTGAACTTAGAAGAGCATTTAAGGAAGGATGGGGAGCCAGGCTGCCGAGGAGTGGGAAGGAGGGGAGGGGTGGAGGGGGAGAAAGGGGAGGGCGAGGGAAAGACAGGGAGAGATCCAGAGAGGGGGAGAGGTGGGGGAGAGGAGCAATGGAGCAGAACCTGAGACCGGAGAGGCAAGCCAGGGCCGCTATGATCCTTTTTAAAACTAGTTTTGAAAATGTTCAAACTATGTGTTCGCGGGTCCTCCAGCAGAAACCCAAGCAACTCTGGGGTCAGCGGCGACAGGGGAATGGGGCGAGGCGGCGCAGGACTCCACTGCGCTCCAGGCGGGGGTCTGGGCGTTTCTCCTGGGTCCGCGGCCTCGGAGCTGGCCTAGAACTGCGGTGTGGAAGGCGCGGCCCCGCGGGCGTCCCGGGGAGCCAGGGCCCCGGAAGCGGCTCTCTGGTGTCCCGGTGCCTGCTGGCCGGCTTCCTCCCCGCCTCCCCACTGCTGTCGCCAGATCTCACTGCTTCGCGCCTGTTCTCAGCTTTCCCCCCAGATTTCTAGGGGGGGGGGGCTGGGCTTTCCGAACCACTGGGAGGGCGGCGCAGGAAGGGCCCGAGGGCCGAGGGGGAGCAGACAGGGGGCCCGAGGGCACGCACGTGTCCCCGGAGGGCTTTCCTTGTGTCCCAAACCCTGTCAGCCGTGGCTCTCGCCTGAGGACTGGGGACGAGATCGCGCAGTGGCCCGGGGTCGGGACCCGCTAGACCTGGCAGGGGGTCGAGGCTTGCCCGGGCGCTGCAGCTGCAAGACAGCCAGCCGCCTGGCGGGAGGGCTGCCTGCGGTGGGCTAGGAGAAGGGCCGCTGAGCGCTCAGCGGGCTGGGGTCGCCAGGTCTCACGTGTCTCTCTCCCCCCTCTCCTCGCACTTGCCCCCTCCCCTCCCTCCAGACGCCCCCCGCACCCGCAAGAAGCGCTGCCCTTATTCGAAATTCCAGATCCGGGAACTGGAGCGAGAGTTTTTCTTCAACGTATATATCAACAAAGAGAAGCGGCTGCAGCTGTCCCGGATGCTGAACCTGACGGACCGACAAGTGAAAATTTGGTTTCAGAACAGAAGGATGAAAGAAAAAAAACTGAGCAGAGACCGGCTGCAGTATTTCTCGGGAAACCCGCTGCTGTAACCTGCAGACCGGGCCCTTTTGGGGGCGGGGGGAGGGGAAATTTATTTTATTTTATTTTTATTTTTTATTTTCTAACTCGTCTTCTTTCCGCGGGTGGAAAACTGGACTGTGGCCAGGGGTGGCCCCCACCGCTGTGGCCGGCACTCCGTTCCCGAACCTCCTGGACCCTCGATCTGACTCTTGCTGTGGGACGGGGACCGGGCCTGAAAAGGGGGTGAAGGGAAGTGTCTGATGCACGGCGAGTGAACACCGTTGGCGCCGAGGCCAAGACTTTTATTTAAAAGAAAACACACCTCGGCGACAATGTCTTGCTGCTGCTCGGATTGGGTGGGGGAGGGGCGACAGTAGTGAGCGCCTGAGCCGAACAATCCACGAACTAAAAGCCTTCCCTTGCCCAAGTGAAAAGATCCGCTAAGACAGCATGTCTGCCACCGGAAACTTCTTGGGCTCCCCCTCTACCCCGCCCCACCTAGCCCCACTACTTTAGGGGGCAGCTAAATGTGATCCTGCTTTGCTGTGAAATTTCTGTACCGTCGACCTGGTGTTAGGTGTGCAAAGTCCGTGTCCTACCTCCGTCTTCGCCAAGGCCCTGCCCGAGCCTAGTTGTTCTCCCCGTGAATGTGTAGAACCTTCCTTTGAAATTTCTTAATCGGTGCATTGAGGTTTCTAAACCTTTTTCCAAGCAGTGCCCCCACTTCATGGATTTATCTATAGTCTATGCAGTCGTTACCTCTTTTTTTTTTTTTTTTTTTTTAAAGATAAAAGAACATTGGGGTGGTGGAGGCAGTAGGGAGATGGGATTGGGTGCCTCCCGCTTGCTGGGGCCTGGATTTTTGTAAATAAATTTCTTTCCACCTGGAGGGGAAGGGGGGAACGCCCCCAGTGAGATTCAAATCACCCATCTCTCCTCCTATGCGTGAGTGCGTGTGTACATGGGCACTCCCTACCCTGCTCCCTTCCCAGAGGGATTGCTGTGAAAATTTTTTTGGTGGCAAATAAAGATAAATTTCATTCTGTTCAATATTATGATTTTATTTGACCCTTTTATTAATCCCTCTCCTCTTAAAATCCTCCATGCTCCCATGGTGGCGGCGGAGGAGGAGGAGGCAGGAGGGCAAAGCCCAGCCGGTGAGGACAGGCAAGCAGAGGTGAGATAGGCCGGTGCTGGCCGGCCTAGAGCTGCTCTCCGCTGGCAGGGCCAAGAGTATGGCCGTAGTTTCCTCACATTCTCAAGCTGAGGACATTCCATAGCTACTCTGAAGCTCTCCTTTCTCACGTGCAGCTCGAGCTGTGTCCAAACGCCCAGCAACGGCTTTCTGTTTAAGTACACGTTTGTTGTGGAGTTAATTGTAACCATCATCGAATTTAAATTTATAGGAATTTTTTTGGCTCCACCGCCCTTCTGCCAGATGTCTCCGTCTGTCGCAGTTAAATGTGTAGTGTGAAGGGTAGAGCTTTCTCTCTCTCTCTCTCTCTCTCTCTCTCTCTCTATGAGAAGTCTGTATTGGAATTTTTACACACTGTTTTTAAGGAAGGAGGGGACAGAGGGAGAAACCAGCCCCCTCCCTCTCCTCTCCACAGCTCCTGGGGGTGGGAAGGTGGGGACTGGCTGCTTTCCCTCTGGCACAAATGGCCAGGCTCTTCCAGACACAACAAGACGCCTGTACTGGGGCCATCCTGAGGTTTACACATTGGGTGTCCCACAGTAGAAAGCCCCAGAGATTTGTTTTGTAGGGGTTGGCACTGGGGATGGAGATGACCTGTGGGGACAGTCACTATACCCATCTGTATTTGCTGCAGGTTTCTTCTGTATAAAGATAATCATGGCCCTTGCAGTGCTTTCAGTGAGGGCACTCTGTTGGTCTCTGTTTCAAATTCATTAGTTGGGAGCAGAGATTCGGGACCACTTATCTCATCTTTCCCCTCTCTTTCTGTCTTTGTATAATTCAAAGAAAATGTTTTTGTCAATACAATTCTGTTGGGTGAAAGGAAAAAGCATCATGACTATCAAATCTAGGGTCTGTCATTTTTGATGGTAAGAATCCCTGCAGTTTAGGTATCTAAATTTCAAATTTGTAAACGTGGGTCGGGTTGTGAGACAGGATTTGCAAACTAGGGTGTATATGCAGCCCACAATTCCCTCATGTGCCCACACACAAACGTTTTATTTAACTCGGTGTGCCTATGGGTGCACATAAGAAGGAATATTATTTGTATGCTTTTGTCTGTTGTATGGAGTAAACCTGACCACATGCACATCTAGAGCTTGTGTCTCTGTGGTGTGTAACCACTGGCAGTGTTTGTTGAGTGTGGGCAGGAATGCAACTGAGGGGCCTCTGTACGTTTGTGTGTGTGTGTGTGTGTGACACTTCTCCAGGTATGATGTTTATCCACTAGCCACATTAGGAAATATTAGCTTGCTGGTCATGTTTCCTGTAAAATTAGGCTAGAGGAAACTCTATAAGATGAACCTATTTATAAAACAAAATATTAGCCTCCAAATGCCTGATTTTTGAGAAAAATATTTAAAACCCACAGGTACCACTTTCTCTGCAATGTGCAGCCCAGAAATGTCCTCCACTCCAAAAGAGAGTTCTGCTGGATGAGAGGAGAAGGTCACCATGAAAGAAAAACAAAGGCTTCTGTGACCCAAGCCAGGAATCTGCCAGTCCTTGGTGACCCTCTAAAAAGGAGGAAAAAGGGTTTTTTGGCCCCCAAACAAACCCACCTTCGGTCTCCCAAGGTGTCCAACCCCCCTTGCAGGTCAGGGGCACTCTGGGCTCAACCTCTTGGGGTAATCCTCTCCAGCCGCAGCACTGCCCAGGAACAAAAGATCCTCGTCTAGACGCTGCCATAAAGCACCCCCACCCCATGTCTCTAAACCCAGTTTCATTTCGACCTTAACGACTCAGTCTGGCCTGTATTAGAAACTGCTTCCGCCCTAAATAGTAAACAAACCTGTAGTGGAGGGTCTTGGTTCTCCCAACACACCCCAGACCCCCACCTCCTCAGCCCCTTGCCCCACATTTTTCCTCTTTTCTCCAGCCTTTCTCAGCTCCCAGCTCCCCAGCCCCTTTCCTCCCCACCGCCCCCCACCCCACAGTAAATAAACCTGAGGCCGAGTTCAAAGTTTCCCGGAGCTAAGGAGGAATGCTGGTTGTAAAAATCCAAGTTTATAGCGCACGTGGGAGTTTACAAGGGTATTAAGTGGTATGGGCTGAGAGAGCATTCTGGGCCCCTCCCCCTCCAACCATGGGCTTTGGGGGTGCAGGAGGAATCAAGGGCACTCGAAATGAGAAATGGGTTTGGGAGTAGCCTTGAGTTTGGGGTTTCTTTGTCACTTAGACTCTTAGGTGGCTGAGGTTTGGCGATGCAAGGGTCCCTTGTAAGAAGACTCAAAACCCCTGCCAAGCACCTCTGAGAGAAAGCCCCCTGGCTCTAGGTGTCCCAGATGGAAAGATTGGGGGGCTCTGTTTTGGGGGAGCAAAAGGTGTCTGAAAGGTGAACAAGGTTGGGGATATCTAGAGCCAGTTCTCAACCAGAATGGGAGAAGCTATCTTGGGCTAATTTCTCCAGTGGGCTGAGAGCAGAGAGGGCTCTTCTCTTAAGGGCAAAGAAGAACTTTGAACTTCAAGGGAGTCAAGGGCACCACCCCTTCGCTTTCCCCGCCTCTCTCAGGAATCCGTAGGGCAATTGTTTCGGGGCCAGTATTCCCTGAAGAGGGGAGCCACTGGGGTTTCTGGTGCCCCAGGGTTGGATAATGCTGTTTGCTAACCCCTCCCTACTCAGAGCCCGCCAGAACCAGTGCACGCGACTGCACTCTTTATTATTCATATAAACCTTTGGAAAAGGCAACGCCCGGGAAGTTTTTATAACTTTGTTTGGCATAAAAATTTTACAAGATTCCCCATCCCTTAAAAAAAAAAAAAAAAGTAAGTTTTCATCTTGCCATAGGATGAAATCACAGGTCTTTGAGAGGCAGAGGTGAGAGGGGCTCTGTGGGGTGGCAGTTCAGGGAAGGGAGTGTATGGAGCTGCCTTTTTCTAAGGCAAAAAGGCTTGAAGGTTTGAGTCAGTCCTTCCTGAGGCCCATCTTGGACTCAGCTTTGGAGCATCTTTGGACAGAGTCCTGTCCACTCTGCTCTTGCACACTTACAAACTCTAAAAGTTTGGACAATATCAGCATGACAAGACCTTCCCCCATCACACCCTCTTGTTCTCCTGTAGGCACTACTCTCTCTCTCTCTCTACACACACACACACATACACACACACACACACACAGACACACACCTCTCTGCACAGCCCCCCTCCAATCCACTGCACAAAGCAAAGACCCATAACCTTGACTCAGACTGCTGGTTTGGGAGGGTCTCTGCACACACAGCCCTGCATCCTGGCCTGCCGCCTGTGAAGTCAACAATGGGTTTGAAGAAAGAATCCAAAACACCAAGAAACTCCTGCCCAGAGGTTGCAGTGGTTGCAGGACCAGAGGAGACAGAGGGCCAGCAGGGCTGCAGTCCAGGAGCAGAGAACAAAGGCGGCCATGTGGGAGATGGCCTTGCCCACGGATGACCCCTGGACCTTCCCCTCATCCTGGGACTGACAGAATCCCATTTGCTCATTTCCCCTAACTCCAGCCTTGGGAGCACCAACTGGGCTCAACTTTGTGCCATTTTAATGCTTCAGCTCCGGAGGTCAGGACAAAGATGGGACAACTTCTCCAAAGGCAGGCCTGGTAGACAAGCCTCCTTTGGGGTGATGGAAGTGAAAATACATGACCTCTGAATCCTGGCACTTGAAGAAGCCATCAGCATTAGTGTGGATGTGCCCCAGAATCCGATTTTTCCTCCCTCTAATGGCGACTGCTGAGGCCTGGCTGCTGGCGGCTGGCAGCCCTACACTTCGCCTTGTGAGGAGGAGCTGAGCTAAGGCCGTGGGCGGAAGAAGGTCAACTCCAAGCCTTAGCAGCGGGGCTAGGGAGGTATGCGACTGAGCCTGGTGCTGTCCCCCTCACTAAGCCCAGCACACCAGAGAAAAATAAGAAAGGCTAGGAAAGAAAGTCAGGGGGAAGGAAATAATTGGAGAGAGAAAAGAGCAAAGAATGAATTGTATAATAAAGAAAGAAGGAAATGAGGAAATGGGAGAAATAAGGAAGACAATTAGAAAGGATTGGAAAAAGAAGAAAAGGATATATTACAGGCAGAAAGGAGGAAAAAGGAAACCAGAAAGAAGCAAATAAAGAGAAAAGCGAAGGATGAAACAAGAAGGAAAGAAAGAAGAGAAGAAAAGAAAAAAAGAAAAATAGAAAAGAAAGGAAAGGAAGGCAAACAGAGATCTTTGAAAAGGAATTTAACCGGTAAGAAAGGATCGGTGTTTTTCTCCGGAGCAAACCAGCCTAACCACAGCCCCGACTCTAGCTGGAAACCTGACTTACTGGGGGCAACTTAGAAGCAAACCACTTAAGTGGGGAGCAGGGCCTGCCTAAGACATCCTCCGCACAAAGCTTCTCTCTGAGGTGTCTTCGGTCTGGTTTCAATTCAGGGGACAAAATTAAATAACTGGCCAGCTTCGGCAGGGCCAGGAAGCAGTCAGACTGGTACGGGTTATCAAAATTTGGGATTCAGAGATCTCAGACAGCACTTTGGGTAAAAGTGAATATTTGTGGCTGTGTACACATATTTCAGTGCAAGTTAGACACGTGTATAGATGCTGAACTCCATAGCATCTGTGTGCAAGTGTGTACAATGTCAAGATGTGACAGATTCTGCTGGCCGAGCTATCCCGAGGGCTGTGAGGTCCAGAGTAGACCAGAGGCCCCGCTAAGCGTCCTCAGCCTCCTACCTTCCTCTAGTACCTGTTTGAAAATCTTTTTCTTTTCTGGGTCTCTGGGCATTCCGAATTTTGCCTGGAATTTCCCTGCTTCCAATTCAGCTGGGGCAGAGCCTGGTGTTAGTGAAGAAGAAAAGCAAATCTTTTCTTTAAGTTTTGGGAAGAGAAGGATTTATCTCGGCCTCCAAAG